AAGAATGATTCATATTCTGTGTGTATGTATGTAAGTGTGTGTGTGTGTGTGTGTGTGTGTGTGTGAATAGTTGAGTCACAGAGGTATTGGGTTGCTGGTGGTCAATGAGGGTAGGAGGAAGAAGAGGGGGAGTTACTTCACTCTCCTCCACACACACACACACACACACACACACTCCCCCCCTAACACTATATTAAGTTCTAGACACAAGGGAGAGGATGCAGTATTAATAAATCATTCTATACAGTATGAATGTATGTAAACTGTATATTGTGTGTACGAGAGAGAGGAGATTCTGGCACAATGGGGACACTGAAGGATGGATGTGTGGATGATGGTGACGTGTGGATGATGGATGATGCTGATGGACGAGTGGATGATAATATAGTAAAAGTAATAATAATAACATTAATGAAAATAATAATGATAATAATAATAATAATAATAATAATAATAATAATAATAATAATAATAATAATAATAATAATAATAATAATAATAATAATAATAATAATAATAATAATAATAATAATAATAATAATAATAATAATAATATAGAAACATGATTATTATAGACAGTTTCTGAAGTCATCTAAATATATCTACCACCTATGTAAATTACCTGCTGGGAGTAATTACCACACCTGTACGGTAAATCATGGCGTTGTTGATACTGTCATATTCTGTGCCAGCTGTCACGCGTGGCCATGACAGCTAATACTGATCATCTGTCACCCCAACCATGCCAGCCGCCAAGCTGTCATCCCACCGAAGCAGTTTCAGTATTATTTCTCTATAACACTTCCAGTAACTTCCACCACAATGTCAAATCCCTTTCACATGTAAAAGTCGGAGGATTTTTCCCTTGGTTTTTCCCGCCAGTTTTTCACGCAACACTTGAAACGCTGACGCTGCCAAAATGTTCAGGAAAATTTGTGAAAAGGCAACGAGGACTTTCATCAAATAACAACGCGTCTCTTTTATCAACGACGACTTACAGAGATAAATCAACTATTAACCACAATCACATTATTGATTCTATTAATTTTAACAGAGATAACAAAGTGTTTTTAAGAGACAGACACAGTTTGTTGACTATGACGGAGTACAGTTGTTCATATTGCAAGATTTTCAATAGTGGAGAAATTCGCAACACTCCACACTCTCTCTCACTCTCTCACCCCTCTCCAATATTGTGTCTGTTTCTCTGATATTAAATTTCGGGAAAAACAGTAGCTATTCCCTTACCTCCTGGCGGCTCACCTACAGTATGGCAGTTCGTCTCTCTTGTTCCTCCTGGTCGTCTCTCTCTCTCTTGTTTCTCCCCAGCTGTTCCCTTACCTCCCCCTCCCCCCCTTCCCTTTTCTCTTTCTCCTCCCCTCTCCCCGTCTCCCTCCAATTCTCAGGAAGAAGGAACTTAAAATGGTCGTTCCGTAGTATCTTTCACCATCCCTCTTTATCCTTCATTTACCTCCTCTCCACCCCCTATTACTCCACTCAACCCACTCCCCTATGCCTCCTTCCTTCTCTTCCTCCCCTCCCTCCCTCCTCCTCCCCTCCAAGTACTCTCCCATGTCCCCATTCCTCCTCTCCCCATGTCTCCCCACTTCCCCCTTCCTTCTCTCCTCCTTATGTCTTCCTCCCTCTTCCTTTTAACACCTTGTCTTCCTCCTCATCAGACCATTTCACCTTTTCTTCCTCTCCTTCTTTCCCGTATCCATTCCATCTCATCACCTCTTCCTCCTCTTCCATTACTCGTTTATCTTCTCTCCCTCCGTTCCTTCCTTCCTTTCCATATCCTCAAACACACAAGGTTTACCATGGTTGTTTTCTCTCACCCCTTTCTCTTCTACCCTTCCAGGATCTTTAATCGCTTTACCAGATTCTCCAATTAACCCTTCCAGCCCTTCTCCTCCTTTTCCTCCCCTCTCCCTTGTTCCAGCTCTTCCAGCAAGTTTTTCCATCGTCCATTTTTCTTTTTATTTCAGATTATTTATTCACCACCTTTCCATATCCCACCCTCCTTTCCCACCCTGTTGTAGACCCACCAACTAACTCTTCCATTACCCTTCCCTCTTTCCCTTATTCCAGACCCTCTTAACTATCCTCTTCCAGATCCTCAGACCAAAAATGTCCATTCCACCTCCGTCCCCCTTCCATATATTACCTTTCCACCCTACCTCCCTCTGTTCCAAGAAAAGTCTTAGCGTCGTGTTCTTCCAGATAATGGCGTAACGCGATTTCCAGAATATTTATTTGGGTTTGGTGTGGTCAGCGATGCGGCCGCTGGACTCCATCGTAGTTTGTGGGTTCCAGGAAGGTGGCGAAGGAGGGAGCCCTTGTTCATCCTGGGGGTCCTCTCATTAGCCTGCCAGGTGAGCTACTTGACACACAAACTCCGGAAGCTTTTTTGTTTTCTCGGAAGTAGCGACAAGAGAAGGTACAGTATCTAGTTACGACAGAGTTTTAGTGAGATTTTCGCATAATTTTGGCTGACAAACAAAATTTCTTCACACGAACCCTCAAGAATCTAAGGACTGGGAATAACAGACGATCCCGGCCAGTACTTTGCGTGAATCCATCTCGACCAATGAGCTCTCAGAGAGGTTGTCTCCTCCCCTCGTTTTCGATTTGGATCAAGTAGAAAAACGCCCGTCACTCACCCCGCGTCCCGCCGTCACTGACCCCACGTCTCGCCGTCACTCACCTTGCGTCCCGCCGTCACTAGACGCGCGTCCCGCCGTCACAAGACGCGCGTCCCACTGTCACTCACCCCACGTCTCCCCGTCACTCACCATGCAACCCCGCACCCCACCGTCACCCACCCCGCACCCCACCATCACCCACCCCGCACCCCACCGTCACTCACCGCACGCCACCGTCACCCACCGCACCCCACCATCACCCACCCCGCACGCCACCGTCACTAACCTTCATCCCACCGTCACCCACCCCGCACTCACCGTCACCCACCCTGCACCCCACCGTCACTCACCCGCATGCCACCGTCACCCACCCTGCACCCACAAATCACCCACCCTGCACCCACCGTCTTACACCCATCCACCGTCCTCACCCACGTCCCACCGTCCCACCCTCACCCCACCCCCCGCCTCACTCACCCCGCACCCCACCGTCACTCACCCCGCACCTCACCGTCACGTCATCCCCCTAGCGGCAGTTTCGCAAATCTCGACCGTAACACAGCACCAACTCTCCACATCAAAATGCTGTCTCGGAAAGTTTCATCCTAACTTACTCAACTTTCCGGTCATATTCCCGAGTGGATAAGTTTCCATCAGAGAGAACGAGACAATTAACAAACTATTGATTATTATGCAAGAGACGAACAGTAGTGAGTGTTAAGACCAAGTGTTCACACCCTCATACCGTCACACCCTTACACCTTCACACCCTTACACCGTCACATCCTTATACCTTCACACCCTTACACCGTCACACCTTTACATCGTCATACCTTCACACCCTTACACCGTCACACCCTTACACCGTCACACCCTTTCACCTTCACACCCTTACACCCTCATACCTTCACACCCTTACACCATCACATCCTTACACCGTCACACCCTTACACCGTCACACCCTTACACCATCACATCCTTACACCGTCACACCCTTACACCGTCATACCTTAACACCCTTACACCTTCACACCGTTGTAGCAGCCCACATTAATCCCCCGCCAAACTATACCCCGGGGTATAAAATAGCCCAGGCTATATTATACCCCGGGGTATATTTTGGGCTAGCCCAGACTATACCTCTCTCATCCAGATTATACCTCCTTGTGTTTTTCATAAATAAGGTAACTCGGGGGAATAATATTCTGGATTTAGTATTAAATAATAGATAAAATGCAATCACAAATTTAGAAATTGGAGAAACATTAGGAAATAGCGATCACAAAGTCATCAGATTTGACCTTAACTTAACAAATGAGAAGAACAAAAATAGAATTGTAACAGACTTCAGAAAAGCAAATTTTATAGGTTTAAGAGATAGGCTTAGGAATGAGGTGTGGGGTGGTATTACCCCACCAGGGCCAGAACAAGTGAGTTCAGGTCCTGTGGGAGAGGTAGGTTAGGTTAGGTTAGGTTAGGTTAGGTGAGAAATAAAATCAAAATTTAATATCTGAGTGTGTTTTTTAATTTAAATTAAGATAGTTTAGCCAGACCACTGAGTTCAAAACAGAACTCTCATAGGGCTGGTTTCTAAGTGTGTGGGGGGGGGGGATATAATCTGACCTACGGGGGTGTAAACAGTTTGTGTTTATAATTGGGGCATAACTGGACTTAGCCCAGATACCCGGGGTATAAAACAGGCTAGCCCACTTTAACCCCGGGTATAGTCTGGGGAGGGGGTATATTTTGGGCTGTTACACCGTCACAACCTCAAACCGTCACACCGTCAACCCCCCCACACCATCACACCTTTACACCCTTACACCTTCACACCGTCACACCCTTACACCTTCACACCGTCACACCCTCATACCGTCACACCATCATACCGTCACACAGGTCATGCCGTCACACCAGCACCACTCAGTATACTCTCACACCATCAAATTTCTCAACACCATGACTTACCATTGCACACGGCACTCTGTCACACTCACACCGTCACACCACACACTGCTCACACTGCCACACTCTCACACTCAGTTACACTCTACATCTGTCACACTTTATTACCCGCTGTCACACTCTCACACCGCTTACACTTTAAAACTCTCTCACACCGTCACACTCTCACACCCTCACACTTAAACCAGCACTGTCACAATTTTCATACACCGTCACAATTTCACACCGCCACACTTTTAAAACTCTCTTCACACTGTTAATTCTCACACTGTCACATTTCCTCACCGTCACACCATCATATACCGTCACAATTGAGCTGTCAAGACTTCACACCGCCACATCTTTTAAACTCACACCCTCATACACACCCTCATACCGTCACACCATCAGACCCTCACACCGTCACACCCTCACACCGTCACACTCTCACAGTCACACCCTCACTCTCACACCCTCATACCGTCACACCATCAGACCCTCACACCGTCACACCCTCACACCGTCACACTCTCACAGTCACACCCTCACTCTCACACCCTCATACCGTCACACCATCAGACCCTCACACCGTCACACTCTCACACCGTAACACCGTCACACCCTGGTTTAATGATCATAATATGTTAATTAAGGTACCGATTGTTGCGTTATGTTTTCAGGAGAATTTACGCTCTTATGTCAGTTGACACGAACCCAGTACAGGCGGCGTGATGGTGCTGACAGGAAGGAAACTTATGAGACAAGTTATTATCACCACCTTTAACTCTCACTGTTTATTTAACTCTTTGAAGACGAGGGAACTAGAGCTTTAAACGAGGAGGAGAGGGAGAAGGAGGTAAAGGGATAATATAGAAGGAGCAAGAGAATAAGGAAGAGAAGGGAGGGGAAATGTAGTGGGAGAAGAGAGGAGGAAAGGGGAGGGGAAGAGGCAGTATAGAAGGAGGAGGAGGAGAATGAAGAGAAAGGAGGGGGTAGTATAGAGGGAGAAGGGAGGAGGAAAAGAGGCATTATAAGAGAAAAGGGAAGAGGAGTAGAGAGAAGATGACGAAGAGGTAGGAAGAGGGGGAGGAGGAGGAGAAGGAGAGTTAAATAAACAAACTCACAGACTCAATATATCATTAACCCCAAACTGGAATTAAAATAAACGTATCTAATTAACCTAAGAATCTCAGTATAATATTATTTTTATTACTGCACCTTAAGTCAGCCAGACACAAACATTCATACGACTTTGTAATAATTTGAAACTCTGGTACATAACCCCAGTTTAGTGCGGGTCGTTAACTATACTGTACTGGTGGGCGGCCCTGTCATTGGTCAAGAGGGTGGAGGACACTTGTTATGATTGGTCCATTCTCCATGAAGGTTTGTATCTATGTCTGTTAAGTATAGGAAGGGTTGGGAATGTGTGTGTGTGTGTGTGTGTGTGTGTGTGTGTGTGTGTGTGTGTGTGTGTGTGTGTGTTAAAGAATAGGTACAAAAGTATATGAACAAATCTATAACTGATATATCTACATGTATATACGTTAATCTATACACATAACTATCCAACAAGCATATGTATACACTCTTGTTTATGTATCAAGGAGGAGAGAAGGACGGATGGAACTCTTGTACAAAGGTCAAGGTCATGTGTCAATCACTGGAGGAGAGAGAGAGAGAGAGAGAGAGAGAGAGAGAGAGTTACTTCCCATACTATTCCCAACACTTCACTCTCATCAGCTCCTTTTATCTTTTTAAATACCCTCTACGGTGGCGGAAGAGAGGGAGTGGAAAGGAGTGGGAGGGAGTGATAGTAGTGGTGGAGGTGGTAGGATGGGGTGGGAGGGAGTAGGTGGTAAACACGCCCGCCCGTCAGGAGACCGAGGACCACACCAGGAGACCGAGGACCACACCGGCACTAAACTACAGACCGATCTCCCTCCTCGAAGTACCTGGAAAAATCCTAGGAAAAAATCATCAATAACCGTCTGAGAAATCACCTGGAAACAACCAACAGAGTCAACTACAGACAATTCGGGTTCAGGAAAGGGAAGTCCACCACAACAGCGATAGCCCTGGCATGTGAAAACATAGCCAGAGCCGCAGTGAGTGATAGACAATGTAATCTAACTCTCCGGGATGTAGCGAAGGCATTTGACAAAGTCTGGCATGACGGTCTAAAATATAAGATCCTCCAACTCGGACTTCCCACCAACATTGAAAAGTTGCTTTACAACTTTCTTGACGGCAGAAATGCTAGACTGAGGGTAGGACAACACACAGGAGAGACCTTCCCACTCATGAGGGGAGTCCCTCAGGGGAGCGTCCTCTCTCCCACCCTAAATATATTATCTACACAAGTGACACCCCGCCTCCCACTAGAATAGGTAACGAAGATATTATGTATGCAGATGACATCACTCAAATAACAACACATCAAGGAAAATCCCGAGCGTTACAGGTCGACAACACCAGGCGGGAATTAGAAAGGGTAAATAATTACGAAAAACAATGGAAAATCCAAACCAGTATCCCGAAATTCACAGTGATACCCTTATGGAGAAGGAAAACCCATCCATTAGTAACCAATACTGCCCAGATAGAATGCAAAAGCAGAGGCACCCTCCTGGGCCTGCATATATCCACGACAGGTTACTCCCATCATGTCCACAGCAGGAAGGAAAAAGCAAGAGGAGAGCTGAGAAAACTATACCGCTTTAAAGCGCTTCCTGAGAAAATAAAACTCCGCCTGGTGACATCATTTATCACACCGATATTAACTTACCCAGCAATACCTCTTCATACTATGAGCACCACTCAAATATTAAAATTACAGGTGGTCCAAAATCAAGCCCTAAGATTCGTCACAGGTGAAAGAGACCCCTTTACCAGAACAACAGCCGAGATACAAAGAGACCTGAGAATAAAGCCCATCAACCAACAGCTGTACACCCTGGCCAGCAGAGCCTGGCAAAAGATAGAACGATCAGAGCAAGAACTCCTTCAGAGACACCCACCAGATAACGACAACAACCATTCATAGTTCCCAAAAAGTTACCAAGTCTTAAAAGGTCCATTACCACCCCCGATCTACACGGCCAGGCAACAGACAACCTCCCGAGACCAGCATCAGCCAGTAGGGTCGGCGGAATATGAAATAAGGCCCTTAAAACACCTTTATAGGATAGGGTAAGATGTCTAGTGCCTGTACCGACAGACAATAACTAACCCATGACACAACACTATTAGCTTAGCTAGGCGGTCAGCCCGCCCTCTCTTACCTCCTCTTAAATGTCTTCAATTTCCGAACTATAACTTCCTTCCCCCACCTCTAATCTTCCTTCACCCTTCCTTTCTCTATAAAAAAAAAAAACACCTGCTATTGCCCCTCTCCCCCTTTCCTCCCTCTAATCTTCTCTCACTCCCTCACTTTCTCTACTACTACTACTTCAACTACTACTACTACCACTCCTACTGTTACTATTACTACTACTACGTCTAAAAATAATACAAATTAAACTAATAAATATCAAACGCTGCCTGATTGAAGCTCGAGGCACAGGTGGTTGTTTGTTACCCACAGTGCTTGAAGTGGCGCTCACCTGACGCCTCGTAACACCTCAAGGATTCATATCTAGGTCGAGACAATACTTCAAAGGTTCATAAAATACGATAGATTCAGAACCGAAATTCAAAGTCTAAAGTCAGATTATATTTGATTTAGAATAACATATATATATAAAGTTATCTTATATAGGTGATTTAGAAGCGAATCCTTGTTATAAGATCTATATTTAATGGTTTGTAAGTGTTTCATAGTATCAGTTCAGTGAGTGGTTCAACTGCTTCAAAAATCTACGGCCTTTAATGTGATTATTTTAGAAGTGTTTCAAAGTCTATGGATATATTTCAATATAAACATTGTCATTTTCTATCTTACTCTTTTATTAACTCATTTTCTTTCTCTGTCTCTCATTCGCTCTATTTCTCTCAATTACAGTATCTTTCTTTCTCTCAATTTTACCACAACAAACATTACATACTCAGTGGCCAGACACACACACACACACTTGGCTGATCCCTCCTCTTTAGTGGCTGATGCGGGAAATGTGCCCTACATTATGGTAGTGTGCGTGTGTGTGTGTGTGTGTGTGTGTGTGTGTGTGTGTGTGTGTGTTTATAATTATCTCCAAGAAGAGTGACGCGCCTGGGGATATACAAACACGTGTACAGGATGTGGTGTACAGCCTACGTGGTGTTGTTGACGTGAGCTCCAGCAACGGCAAGAACAGTGGAAATGGTTAACTCACCAAAAAGGAAAAAATATGTGGTAAGAATGGCAGGAGTGTTAATAGGTGGAGGAGGAGAAGAGACATAGGAGGAGGAGGAGGAGAAGAGACATAAGGAGGAGGGGGAGAGAAAGGAGGAGAGAAGAGACAAAGGAGGAAGAGGAGGAGAGAAGGAGAGAAACAGAGCAGGAGGAGAAGAGGCATCGGAGGAGGAGGAGAGAAGGAGAGGAGAAAGAGAGGAGGAGGAGGAGAGAAAGGAGGAGGAGGAGGAGAAAAGGAGGGGAGGAGGAGGAGAGGAGGAGGAGGAGGAGGAGGAGGAGGAGGAGGAGGAGGAGAGAGAAGGGGGAGGAGGAGAAGAGAGGAGGAGGGGGGGGGGAACAGGGGAGAAACAGCTGAGAGGAAGGGCATGAGACCAGATGAACCCCAGAACAGGAACCCCAGGACAGATGAACCCCAGAACAGAGGAACCCCAGAACAGAGGAACCCCAAAACAGAGGAACCCCAGAAACAGAGGAACCCCAGAACAGAGGAACCCCAGAACAGATGAACCCCAGAACCAGAGGAACCCCAGAACAGAGGAACCCAGAACAGAGGAACCCCGGACCAGATGAACCCCAGAACAGATGAACCCCAGAACAGATGAACCCCAGAACAGAGGAACACCAGAACAGATGAACCCCAGAACAGAGGAACCCCAGAAAAGAGGAACCCCAGAACAGAGGAACCCAGAAACAGAGGAACCCCAGAACAGAGGAACCCCAGAACAGATGAACCCCAGAACCAGAGGAACCAAAGAACAGAGGAACCCCAGAACCCCAGAACAGATGAACCCCAGAACAGAGGAACCCCAGAACAGATGAACCCCAGAACAGAGGAACCCCAGAACAGAGGAACCCCAGAAACAGAGGAACCCCAGAACAGAGGAACCCCAGAACAGATGAACCCCAGAACCAGAGGAACCCCAGAACAGAGGAACCCCAGAACAGAGGAACCCCGGACCAGATGAACCCCAGAACAGATGAACCCCAGAACAGATGAACCCCAGAACAGAGGAACCCGGACCAGAGGAACCCCAGAACAGAGGAACCCCAGAACCAAAGGAACTTCGGACCAGATGAACCCCAGAACAGAGGAACCCCAGAACAGAGGAACACCAGAACAGAGGAACCCCAGAACAGAGGAACCCCAGAACCAAAGGAACTTCGGACCAGATGAACCCCAGAACAGATGAACCCCAGAACAGAGGAACCCCAGAACAGAAGAACCCCAGAACAGAGAACCCCAGAACAGAGGAACACCAGAACAGATGAACAGAAGAGGAACCCGGACCAGAGGAACCTCAGAACAGAGGAACCCCGGACCAGAGGAACCCCAAAACAGATGAACCCCAGAACAGAGGAACCCCGGACCAGAGGAACCCCAGAACAGATGAACCCCAGAATAGAGGAACCCCAGAACAAAGGAACCCCGGACCAGATGAACCCCAGAACAGAGGAACCCCGGACCAGATGAACCCCAGAACAGATGAACCCCAGAACAGATGAACCCCAGAACAGAGGAACCCCGGACAAGAGGAACCTCAGAACAGAGGAACCCCGGACCAGAGGAACCCCAGAACAGAGGAACCCCAGAACAGATGAACCCGGACCAGATGAACCCAGAACAGAGGAACCCCAGAGAACCCAGATGAACCCCCAGAGAACCCCAGAACAGATGAACCCCAGAACAGATGAACCAGAACAGAGGAACCCCAGAACAGGAACCCCAGAACAGATGAACCCCAGAACAGAGAACCCCAGAACAGATGAAGAACAGAGGAACCCCAGAACAGAGGAACCCCAGAACAGAGGAACCCCTGAACAGATGAACCCGGACCAGATGAACCCCAGAACAGAGGAAAGAACAGAGGAACCCCAGAACAGATGAACCCCAGAACAGAGGAACCCCAGAACAGATGACCAGATGAACCCCAGAACAGAGGAACCCCCCAGATGGAACCAGATGAACCCCAGAACCAGATGAACCCCGGAACAGAGGAACAGAACAGGAACCCCAGAACAGATGAAGAACAGAGGAACCCCCCAGATGAACAGATGAACCCCAGAACAGAGGAACCCAGACAGATGAACCCCGGACCAGATGAACCCCAGAACAGAGGAACCCCAGAACAGATGAACCCCGGACCAGATGAACCCCAGAACCAGATGAACCCCGGAACAGAGGAACCCCAGAACAGAGGAACCCCAGAACAGATGAACCCCAGAACAGAGGAACCCCAGAACAGATGAACCCCAGAACAGAACAGAGGAACCCCAGAACAGAGGAACCCCAGAACAGAGGAACCCCAGAACAGATGAACCCCGGACCAGATGAACCCCAGAACCAGATGAACCCCGGAACAGAGGAACCCCAGAACAGATGAACCCCAGAACAGATGAACCCCAGAACAGAGGAACCCCAGAACAGATGAACCCCGGACCAGATGAACCCCAGAACAGAGGAAGAACAGATCAGATGAACCCCAGAACAGAGGATCCCCGGACCAGATGAACCCCAGACCAGATGAACCCCAGAACCAGATGAACCCCAGAACAGAGGAACCCTAGAACAGATGAACCCCGGACCAGATGAACCCCAGAACAGAGGAACCCCGGAACAGAGGAACCCCAGAACAGATTTACCAAGGACCAGATGAACCCCAGAACAGATGAACCCCGGACCAGAGGAACCCCAGAACAGAGGAACCCCAGAACAGAGGAACCCCGGACCAGATGAACCCCAGAACCAAAGGAACCCCGGACCAGATGAACCCCAGAACAAAGGAACCCCGGACCAGATGAACCCCAGAACAGATGAACCCCAGAACAGAGGAACCCCGGACCAGAGGAACCCCAGAACAGAGGAACCCCAGAACTGAGGAACCCCAGAACAGAGGAACTGAACCCCAGAACAGAGGAACCCCCAGAGAACAGAGGAACCCCAGAACAGAACCCCAGAGGAACCCCAGAACAGAACCCCAGAACAGAGGACCCAGAACAGAGGAACCCCGGACCAGAGGAACCCCAGAACAGAGGAACCCCGGACCAGATGAAACCAGATGAACCCCAGAACAGAGAACCCCAGACCAGATGAACCCCAGAACCAGATGAACCCCAGAACAGAGGAACCCCAGAACAGAGGAACCCCGGACCAGATGAACCCCAGAACAGAGGAACCCGGACCTGAGGAGGAACCCCAGACCTGAGGAGGAACCCCAGACCAAGTGGAATCCCAGACTAGAGGAGCCCCAGACCAGAGGAACTCCAGACCAGAGGAGCCCCAGAACAGAGGAACCCAGAACCAGAGGAACCTCAGACCAGAGGTACCCCAGAACAGAGGAACCCTAGACCAGAGGAACCCCCAGACCAAAGAAACCCCCAGACCAAAGGAACCCCAACCCCAGAGGCAATCTAACCAACAGGATTTTATGACCTGAGAGAGAGAGAGAGAGAGAGAGAGAGAGAGAGAGAGAGAGAGAGAGAGAGAGAGAGAGAGAGAGAATATTGTCATGAGCTCAATAAACAAATACAGAATAAGAGAGAGGTACGGGATTTTACAGACAGTTAGTTAGGAAGGAAAATAATTGACTTCTTTGTGAGGCGTTTATCTGGAAGCGTTAAAAATAGAATAAATGTCTTGTTGTCGGGTCTTCATTCTGGCTTGATGATAAGAAATAAAAAGTAAGTTTGTGGTATTAGTGTTTATTGTCCTCTCCTCCTCCCCGCCACCACTATACAGTAGTGTTATAGGGGAGGGAGTTGGGGTTTGGGGTCGAATTGAGGGTCGGGGAGGTGTAATGATTGTTTATCAGGCCATAGCTTACAGCCCTGAGAAGAACACCGCATATAACAGTAACCGGATGCACAGGTATACACCCACGTAAGTTGACCCATCCTTCTTAATTAAAGTGAGATTAACACCTGAACTAGCAGAGGTCACAGTCACAATGAACCAGCCAGCACCAAGCACCTGGGCAAACACAGCTATCTCGACACACCCAGATTAGTGCTAATTAGTGATGATATCTGCCAGCCTGACATTGCCAATATAAGGGGCCTCAGGGGCTATTCTAGTTATTGCACATGATATTACCATGATCACTGTCTACATGGGTCATCAGTTCTCTGGTATGGAAACTTTGGTCTTGGCGGGAGGTGTAATGATTGTTTATCAGACCATAGCTTACAGCCCTGAGAAGAACAGCGCATATAACAGTAACCGGATGCTCAGGTGTACACTGTACACCCACGTAAGTTGACCCATCCTTCGTAATTAAAGGGAGATTAACACCTGACCCAGCAGAGGTCACAGTCACAATGAACCAGAGTTCTCACCGCCACGCGATCATGACCGTGTTAACTCAAGTAACTACCCTTCCACCAGTACCACGCACCTGTTCAAGCACAGCTGTCTCGATACACCCAGATTAGTGTTAATTAGTGACAACATCTACTGGCCTGACACTGCCTTTATAAGGGGCCGACAGCTCTTTCCAAGTGAGACAGAACTAAGAAGAAGACAGGGGTCACGCTCATTACTAGTTGAGGTTGGGAGGGAGACTTCCCTCCCCAGCACTGAGTCCCCAGCTAGCAGAGTCTCCTACAGGAGACAAATTCCAGCAGCACCTGCAGACATTCCCCAGCCGCTGGGCCTCCCTCAGGTCACACGTGAGTCATTGTCAGGGCGATCCAAAGGGTGAGTTACTTACGGTGGGAAGTGTACTCCGTCACCATGTTTGTGTCCGAGAGTCATTGTATAGTAACGTCAATATAATGATCTATTAATGTGTTCATGCCATCGACTTAACTAATAAATAACTGTACTTAGAATTGGTGTTTAGAAAGTTTTCCCCTACGAATATAATACCAAGTTAAATGAACTAATCGGTCACACTACCAAACTTTCCTCACTTTATCCTATAACTAATAAATTATTACCTTACCTCTTCATATGAGATTTAACCTCATTATAGTGGGATTCAGGGTTGAGGTTGGGGTGAAGAAGAGTTGAAGTGGATGGGATTGGGGGAGGGGGTTGGGGTAGGGGAGAGAGTGGGGTGGGATTGAGGTTTGGGGTTGGGGTTGGAGTGGTATTGGGGTGGGGATGGGGGTTGGGACACTTGGTCACTGTACTGCAGATCTAAACTTCAGCTTCCTACTACACACAGCGCCTGAGATTATTATCCGCACATGAAAACAAACAGGCAGGCAGAGTACACTACCTCCCCATTGGAACTTATATCCTCGGGGTACGGGCTTCGCGAGGCAACTGGGAACTGAATGTGGGGAGGAGGAGGAGGAGGAGGAGGTGTACAGAAAGTTGACTTCATCATCAATGATATATTTTCCGCCTTAACAAGAAGAAAAACTGTCTTCATCCTTTACAAACAATGGACCAAATACTGACCACGCCCCCCCCCCTGCCCTAGGTCACTTGCGCCCTTGGTCTCGTGGATAAGATTAATTAAAAACACCTTATCAGCTAATTAAACAGGTGTGTTCATTAGCGGTTCCTCCACTAATGAGAACCTTGATGCGTCAGAAAGAACTATTTTTATCTTTCCTTTTCTTTTTAGTTTTAATTCAGATTACACTGTTCCCCCTAATTCAAATGAGGTCTCTTAAGAACATAAAAATGGAGGAAACTGCAGCGGGCCTATTGACCCATACTGGGCAGTCCCGTTTATACCCAACCCCTATTGCTCATATAAGCATCCAACCTATGTTTGAAGCTATCCAGCGTATTCGAGTTAATGATGATATTTGGTAACTTGTTCCATTCATCCACTACTCTGTTTCCAAACCAGTGTTACCTATTTCACGCCGAAATCTAAATTTGTCTAATTTAAAACCAATTGTTACGAGTTCGCTCCTGGTTGGATAGCTTGAGTACCTTTGTAATGTCACCTTTGTTTAACCCTCACTTCCATTTATACACCTCTATCATGTCACCCCTCACTCTACGTCT